TAAAGAATTTCACATAACTAGAACCACGTACCTCTGACTACAACAACAAAGAACCTTTTCGAACAACGCGGTAAAAGATTGCTAATATGGCCGACGACATGCTGTTTTGCCTTCTCATGTTATTTCGCACATGCGCAGTGAGTTACGGAGAGTGGAAGGATTGCCCCTTTAAAATAAGCTTCAGGGATATACATAATGTGTCTCTTCGGTCTGACGGGGCCACATTTGCTTCGGTGAACCTTTAATTCTTCTCCTTAGATATTTGGCTCGAATCTCGGAAAATCCAAAACATTAACACGAAGTTGGGCCACATTCCCTGGCTGTCTCTTGGACTGCCTTAACATGATCATATAGCCTTCCTCAGACGACTGTGTCGACGGGGCGCCAACCCATCGAACAGCCCGCAGAGACTTTTCATGTTCATCGCCACAATCCATCGCTGGAGACTAAGCAGGGAGCCGCCACCCCCCCCCCCCCCCGACAGCGCTTTTATCTACATGAGTGGCTCTCCCACAGCGAAGGCAACGGACACGACAGCACCAGTACGGTCCCTACCAAGCCCGCGCCTACCATAGGATGGACCTATGGTTCTAGTCCTGTGAAGAATGATTATTTACTACGTGAACGAACTACAGGTACGATCCGTCAGGGTTGGAAACCCGGTCTCCCCAAAATGGTCGTCGGAAACACACAGTCATCCCCGGGATGGTTCTCGAGTCATTCCCTAAGGACTAGAGCAGCACGGAACCGTATAGTTCCACGGGGCACGAGGAGGTTGTGACATTGAAAAAAGCCATTTTGGAAAACTCGGATTTGAAGGAACATTTGGACCTGAGAATTCCAAGACTACCAAGAGTGTCTTTCATAGTTTTTGGGGTTCCTCAGGATACTACTTCTGAGGAACTACAAATTAGCTTTTCAAGAACTCTTATCATCAGGTGAGAAGAATTTTGTTTTTTTCCAAAGGAACCCAGACCCAGAACAGACGGTACGTGCAACTGTCTTGTTAAAGTGTCTAGAGAACAGGCACAATTGTTGAAGGACCCGAAGAGAGTCTATATTGGTTTCGCATCGTGCTTCTTTCGAAAATTTCCTAAAGTGACGCGTTGTTATCACTGTCAAGCCTTTGGTCATTTAAGTACCCAAGACGATAATCTCTACGAAAACCTCCTTCACCTCGAACGACACGCTGATACTCGTAACTTTCTAGTACTCGAATGCTACCGCCTTACCCTTTAGCAAAGTAGTTTAGTTCAAGAAATTCGAAATAAAACATGGATATTTAAATATTTTACAATAATTTGCCTATGAGGAAACTGGTAAACAAAAATTCAATAAGATTTTTATTCGGAATAACATATTAGCAGTCTTTTTTGGAGATTTCCATTCATTTTCTTTAGGTTGTTCATCGTCTCTCTATTGCCCGTTTTCAGCTGCAGTAGTTTCCATTACTGCAGGAATTGATTTCTTTCCATTCATGAGATTCAAAATTTCTGACATACTGTGTTCGCGTATCATCATCATTATTCTTTCTTCATCGTCTTTTCCGAACATAGAAGTAGTTGTCCTATTTTGAGAAACATCAGGCTCGGACATATTCATCACTTTCACTTTCTTACTCTTCCTTCTCGGTAAAATCTTCTCGTCGGAGCGGAAATTGCATTGATTTACTGGAAATCATTGATCTGTCGGATTCCATATCGTCATCGGAAGATTCACCCTGTGCCCTAAAAAAGGACATTTTGTTGTACCCTAGGGTACTTGAAACAGCTCAGGAGAAAGCAGTAAAAAACCTAACAGAAAAAAACTTGACAGTCCGCTTACGGGACTGGGACAGTTTGCAGTGACAAATCAGGAGAGCTCAGCAGTGCATGCTACTCGCTCGGCAGCTACAGCTCGAATCTCGTAAAATCCAAAACGAAAATCTCTTCGAAAAACTCCTCCACCTTGAACGACACGCTGATACACGTAGCTTTATAGCACTCGAATGCTACCGCCTTACCCGTAGGCAAAGGGGTTTTCTTTGGGAGGTTGAAAGAAGAAAAAAATTTCGTGGTTTCAATAATATGGATATTTAAATATTTTAAAATAATTTGGCTATGAGGAAACTGGTAAACAAAAATTTAATAAGATTTTTATTCAGAATAACAGATCACTTTATTTTAACATGCATTTTATTGGAATCGATGTCTCTTACCAAAAATCCTACGTCCAAGAAAAATCCACAAAAGAAGGCAAAAACTTGATGTAAAACTGAAATTGTAAATTTCCCAAAGTTTGCTGTATGCAACACCTCTAAGCCGTCTTCTCATTTGTTCAAATTTTATTAAAGGTTATAAGATATAGGTTTTAGAGCTATCAGCTATCAATGATTATTTTGTAAATGGATATTGTATATTTCATCGAACTATTACATATTTCTTTAGATATAAAAGTGAAGTATTTGGAAGATTTTCTGTGTCGCGGATTAGTTCTGCTTCTAATTTTCATGTTAATCTTTATAAGTTGGACTCAATTTATATGTTCCCATATGGTCCCGATATTAGTTCTGATGTGATAAGTTTCGTTTTGTAATTTGGATTCACTTTTGATAAGCACTCACTCAGTGTCTTAAGATGGCCTCTTCTATTATATGCAAAGTGATAGTACATCAATGTATTGTTACTTAGTTCTGAAGTTTTATGGTAATTTCAGTTTCACATCAGGGCTCTCAATCCTGGGTTATTCCATTTAATCTAGTTTTATTTATTGAAAAAGGGACTGATAGGTTTTTGTTTTTTACAAAATTAACTCATTTTCCATTATTTCTTAAATAAATAAGGTAATTTTTAAATAAGAACAATATCAAGAACCCAGTGTATAAATATTCTTTTTTATCTCTGCTATATATTTTAATTACTAAGACATTTCAACACATATATTCTGTACCAGGTAAAGAATCCCCACAAATTCTTTAGTGTATATCTCGCTCAATGCCTAAAAGTTTTTAAGTACTTAAGTTCTAAAAATTTTTGCCGGTCGCACAGCTTTTGTCGGTTTAGCCGGTGCTGTCCTCAGCATAGCAGTAACCGATTTTTAACTTAACCTTCAGAAATTTCCCAAGATAATTACATCTCTAAATGAAATACTAAAATGGAAATTGAAACTGAGAATACTCAAGCAGTAAAAATTCCGTTGTTCGATTCCCGGCGGCGGCGTTATTGAGCCGGCAACGTCGCGTTTAAAACAGCGACAGTTCGGCATAAGAGTATATTGATTGATTGGTTTAGAGCAGTAACCTACACATCACCAACCACACAGTCAGATTTTCACTTAGCCTATCCTTGTTCGCGGCAGTATTGATTTTGTCTTCTCCTTGTGACTTCGGTGAGCTCCCCTTTTTCAATTCCGACTCCTCCCACTTGCTCGTCCGGACTGGTCTACGTCATGTGCCCTTATGGGAAAAGTATCATTAAGCCGATACACTGTTTAAAACAGCGACTGTTTAAACAGAACTGTTTAAAACAGCGACAGTTCGGCATAAGAGTATATTGATTGATTGATTAGAACCCAGAACTTAATTTCTAAAATTAGAAGTACCGGAGCCCTATGGAAGACCGTCAGCAAAGAGGAACAAAAGTAAATAAATAAATAAAATGACTATTAAAACCATTAATAATTTTGAAATTAAATAGTTAATTATTATCAAATATCGTATTACTTAATTCTATTTATCAAGTTATTATTAGTTAAATAAAATAATAAAAATTCTTTTTTTATTTAAATAATTACAGATTAAAGTAATTAAATAATTAAAGTGAAATGAAATGCGGAATAACTAAAATTTATATGCGATTTTTAAATTTTTATGCCAAAATAATTTCGAGATCAATTTCTACTGAATAACAGTTACATAATTCATTCATTCATTAATCAATTACATAATTACATTCAGTTACATAACAGAAGTGCCGGAGCCTTCTTTTTTAGGGCTCCGGTGCGCTCCGCCTACAGTTACGATTTATCCCCAAAATTAAGAAGTACCGGAGCCGGGCTCCGGTGGGCTCCGGCGCAATTTAAGCTCTGTTGGAACCGTTTAGATTATATTGAGATTCGCAGAACACTAATTACTAATTTAACTAATTTTAGTCCCGATTTAGGAGACTACTAATTTAGGACTTAGTCCTCATTATGCCCTTAAAGATCAAGATACGATTTTACAACATTCAGATGTCTTCCATAGATGGCAGCACATCTGCTGCACAGTACCACGCTAACCCTAAAACTCAAGTTTAGGGCCAGGACCGACTCAAGTTTAGGGCCAGGACATAGTATAATTTGGCCTTGGCTAGGACAATAGATGGCGGCATTTGAGCCTGCCATTTTTCTCTTTTCACCGCACTTAGGAAGTGCTTCAAGTCCGATTATTTCGGCCTTTTATGAACTTTATTAGGTGCCCTCTTCAGAGAAGGAAAATTATTTTGGTAAAGGCCTTTATTAAGCCCGTTTGCTAAAAACTAGGATTTGGATATGGATGGAGTTATCTCAGCAGAGCTCACTTCGTTAGTTCCGCATTTTGCAAGATAATTTTTAATGAGAAAATTAATGCTATCAGGAGTAATAATTATTATGTGAATTTAGGAGTACGTAACAGTGAAATTCAAAGAAGAAAGTGATTGTACTTATTTTGCTTGAGTAGGAAAAGAAGTTATGCATATACTTATAGTAGTAATAATGCGTTTTTTATATTAAAATAGCATTTAGCTTGTTTCACTGATGTTAAATTTCCAGCTGATACTAACAGTGCTCGAAAACGGGAAATAACAAAGCATCAAATATTTAAATATAATAACAAAAGCAATGAACCTGAATTCTGAAACTGTGCCATTAATTAAGCGTTTAAAATATAGTAAAATAACGGAATAAAACGTTAAAAGCATTTAAAGTAGGCCTTTATAATTTAATGAAAGAAATTTTACATAAATAAGGTTTATTTATACTTTTTTTTATCAATTTTGCAGGTTTTGATCCAGACATCCCTGGCTACAATCGTTATCGTATGGTTAGCAATTCGTCTCTGGGAATTTTTGACTTGCAAATAAAAGACGCGAAGTTAGAAGATGATGCTGATTTTGAATGCCAGGTAACTTAGACTTACACTCTTTAATATACCGATCTATTGCAGGAAGCAACTTTACTACCGGTTCTGGAAATAAAGCCCGGAGGCACATGACGTATAAAATTCCGGACGTGCGAAAGTCCCTAAAGAGAAATCGAAGGAAGCTGGAGAGGAGGGTCCACGAACCAAATAGGGCGGAGGATAGTAAGGCAGTGCCATCTGTCGATGCTAGATATAACTAGAAGTTATATTGCAAATTTTTGAAAAGGAAAGGTGAAGAACGCACTAGTAAGGAGAATATGCGACATATAACATAAAGGCAGCTCCAGCTGCAAGTAATTTAGTTCATACTGCTATTATAAAATATGAAACACCACAAAGGAGAAATATCAGTTTTAGTGATTTTAAGGAATAGCAACAAAAATTAATTTGCTTGAGGAATTCAATAAATATTTGTACAGGTGACAGGTGACAGCAGGGCCGGACACCCGGACGGCTTACAATGACTACTCGGGTGCTGTCGGGACCCTGCAACTATCTGTAGCTGAAACTTTAAATAGACATAAATATAGTAGTTTACAAATAGAGAAAATAAATATTTGTACAGTCAAACGTCGTTAATTCGGACACCCATAATCCGGAATGATCTATAATCCGGACCCCAAAGCTAAAAACTTTCTGCGCATGCGCCGCGTTGGCACATGCGCATAGGCGTTTACGCGTGCGCGTAAGACCTATACGCACACGCGCATTGCGTGCGCAAGTGCAGAATACGTTTTTGCGTGCGCATTTATGTATAACGGACGGTGCAAGCTAAAATTTATAATTATCTATTTAGGTTAATTGTTGATGATTGCTTTGTTCCTTAATCTTCGAATTGGATGCGGTCTTATTATTTTTGTAGACTGTAGAGCAATTTATAAGTAAACTTGAACTTTCGATTATGTCAATTTCCGATTCGAGCTCCCAAAGGATCTACAAAACGAAAGTAATGTCTCGATTCCGTCAAACAAAGTGAATTGGCTGCAAAAAATGGATAAAGACATGAAGAAGGTGACGAGGGTTAGTGAAAACGAAAAATTCGATTGACAAGTTAGTCGGTATTCTCGCACAGCAATTACGCACTTGTAACTGAACAAGAAATCGTCTGTTTATAGAATTAAAGAGAAAGTATTATCACATAAAACGAACAACTTACATTGAAAGAAATGTTTAATAAAGTAAACAATAAATATTAAGCTTTTTTTTTTGTAAATTTTGATACCCTTTAGATCATAATTGTTCTTTATTTCATAAATTACGGTTTCATATTTTTAATTTTATAATTTGTGCATGCCATCTACGAGATTTAAACTGATGACTATAATTTATAATCCGGAATCGCCGAATTCCCGACGAGTCCGGATTAACTACTTTTGACTGTATAATGTACTCATACTGGCAAAATAACTTTTATTGCATGTTACTCATTCTCGAGAAAGTGGTTGCTGAGATATTACCATCTTCTCCATGCTAGTACAAAAAGCTATGTAACCTTTCTAAGAAAATATTCGACTCAGAATGAGGCTACACAGCCTAAATGTATACTTTACTAGAATATATCTTCTAGAAACAGGGCAAAGAATCCCTTAGAGATTCTTTGAACAGGGTCACTTGTGGCAGGCATCTAGTTTAGTATACTAGAAGAAATTCTCTATTACTACCAAGGAAGTTAGAATACATGGAGATGGTGTCTCTGCTATTGCAGTACGAAGAAAGTGAAGCAAGGGGAAGGAAATAAGCCACGCCACATGAGGGCAAGAAAACGATTACATTACTAAGTGAAGTGGGATAAAATGCTAGCCGGTTTCATGTTTTCAGTGTGTTTTCTGATTTTGTATGCGTAGATGTGAAAGGCCTAAAAGCCTAAAGAATTGTTACAGCGAAATAATGTGTACATTTCCGACTTCACGTCCATGTAAGAGAATGTTTTAGAACGTGCCTAAACAAGTAGAATAATCGAAATGTGTGTTTGAATGGCCTTCAAGAAAGAGTTTGAGTATTTTCGTTGTGGAAAGTACACGAAGAGACATATATATTTCTCATATTTACCTTTTCATAATAATAATAAAAGTGATATTCGTAATTAACTTATATGTGATGGCAAAACGATAAGTGAACAAGGGAAGTGGGAGTGGCTAGTAGGGCTATCTGCCTAAGGGGAGGGATGCCTTTCGTGGAGGACCTTCTAAGGGAAACTGGCTCGTATACACGCTACACATGGGAAAACCACGAAAACGCCCATGCAGCATCCCGTTCGCGGATTCGAACCTCGGATCGAACTACCAGTGTTCAGCGTCTTTACCGCTCGGGGCCGCTGGTGGGCCTTCATGAAAAAAAAAAAACAGTTACTTTAATGACTGATCATATTACATTACAGTCTTACTTTTTATTGTTTAACTACTTTTATTTTGTGCTCAAGTAATATATAATACTGGATTTGATTTTTAGTCCACATTTGTTGTGCGAGTTTTAAATAACAACGTAAATTTACATATTTCAATCATTGTTTTATTCAATTAAGTTGTTTTTGAAACATAAGTAATTTATAACATGAAAAATTTGAGAATTGTATATACTTAGAATAAGTAAATTATAATCAAATTATAGTTTGAGTACTTAGTTACTGTTCTGTGTTCACAATACTTTTAATGCTGGCATTTATTAATTACAGAATGCAATTACATAATGTAAAAATTATTGCAATTACATAAAATAGAATTTATAGCAATTATATAATGTAGAAATAAAATGAAATGGCGAGAAAAGTAAAGGAAAGAGGACGTGAAGAATCTGCGATGTTTTAGGAAGAAAATTGGGTGTGGTTAAGAGCACGTCAATCTTTCTAAGCCACGACTACTAAGGGCATGCTTTCCCACTTTTTTGGCTTCACTCGGACTGCGTGGAGAGCATCTTCATGAGTTCTAACCTCCTTGATTACTACACTATACGAGATGCCTATACAAGTTAATCCTGTTCACCACCTAAGTCAGAGGTCTTCAAACTTTGTTGACTCATGGAACCCGTAGCGCTTTAAGAACGTTTCGGGGAACCCATCCCATCTTTATCTTTAAAATATACATTTAAAAATAATATGTAGAATAGATTAATATGTTATAGGTGCATCACTGGCTGAAGAGCATGTCAATTTTTAAGCCACGACTACTAAGAGCATGCTTAACTGTATTTTTCATTAAAAAATGCTAACAAAAATTTAATTTAATTTACTAATTATTTACTCATAATTCGTACTTCACGTGTCAGCTACTCTGCCTTATTTAGTGATAAGGGTGTACTTGCAGTTTTTTTACACAAACTGTCGGAGTCTATCTACCTTGATATTATTTGCAATCGCAGTTCATATTCGGCATTTAATATTTTCTGTATTTTGTTTTTGTTGCCACATACGTTGAGAAAGATTTTTCACTTTTAAAAGTGCATTTTTCCGAATCAGATTTAAATGTTTATAACTGTTTGGAAAACTTCTAGGTATTCTGCATAAATCTACAACTAGAAATTTAGGAGCTGTTGTTACGTAAGTTTAGATTTTAACGTCTGATAACATGCCGATAAGCAGTACCCTTTGCTTCAATTGGCAAGTCTTCTGATTTTTCGTAGGAAACTGAAGGATTTTTTTCTCAAGTTTTACTACGGGAAATATTTTCTTATAGTTTTCTTTAATTTGAATAGGCGCTTCATTGTATAATTTTTGACACCGTCGTCCTCATTCAATTCACTTTACCTTAGAAAACTGCTTAGTTCATCATTTTCTTTGCCATATGGTGACCACATGTTTAGTTTCTAAACTAATCTATAACAAATGTAGCTTTAGATTTTTTAGTTAACAAACTCCACTCAGTTAGCGTGACCAAGGACCAAGGCATTTGGATTACGCAGTACCTTTGCAATTAACTCCACATCATCGTTCATAAAAATGAAATAAATAAGAGAGAAGCAGTCGCTAAAGTAGATGAAAGAGCAGATAAGCTGAAGTCGGGAGTCGCTAAGAAGCCTCATTGTTAGGACCCAGGAGGAAAGAGTTTATCACAATTGAAGGCGTTTAGCCAAAGAATATGTATTGTTAAGAAGAAAAGCTTTGCAGCAGCAGGAGTGGCTCCCTCCGAACGAAAAAGGACACAACTGCTCATGCGTGAAATATCTGTCACCAAAAAGTGCCAAAGCTCGAAGCTGATATCGAAATTCGAACAGGTTCGACGGTCACGTTTATTAAGAGTTTAAAGCTGTGTGATTCCATTTTTTCCCCTACATATTGACAGATATAAAATCAGACATCAAACTGCGATATGGATAATACAAGTTCAACTAGTAAAGTTAAAAAGCACAAAAATTGGACTTTAAATTATCGCGAAAAGTCAAAGAACGATTCATCTTATCCCGTGTTCCTGAATTTCCTGTACACGTGGCGGAGGTGGAACGTCTCGGCCAAGTACATCACGAAGGGGAAAATTCTCGCCAACAAGTTCCGTCGCCAAATCCCTTGGCGAACTGTCCATCTTCTTTCTAGCGGCGTAGAAGACAAACTGGTTTACATTTCGTCTATGGACCTTTCCTTCTTTACATAGACCTTCTTTGGTTTATCCCCCCATAGTGAATCAACTTCTTGTAACTCAGTAACAGAGAAGGCAACCGGGAGGCATATTTCACAAGTGCACATCTGTGAAGCCACCGAGGGAGTGACTTCTAGTATGGACGAATGAGCCTCCAGTAATATTTCTGTCATGTCACATGACCTTTCGCGTGCTTTGAGATTTAAGCAAGATGGTTGAAAATATTCTGCCACGCAATTTTCTGTGAAAAATAATTAAAGGATCGTCGATTGCTTCTGAAACTTTTCATTGCGAAGTTAGATCAAATATAGGCAATTATGAAGATTTCACTACCTGGTTGAAATAAATGCAAACACATGTTGGATATTTCGCAAAAATATCGATGTGAGATATTACTTAATAAGTGGTAAATAAGAT